TTGTCCGAAAGCCCTAGTTCTGTTAGGTCTATGTTTCTGGCTGTTTACTATTTTGCTGTTGCTTATCAATTTTGTATCTTACCGAGATCCAGCCAATAAATCGTAGCCTCTAAAATGATATTTAATTGCCTTTAAAATGTATGCTTCATTAGCCCCCATTGATACTAAGAATTAGTACAGTAAATAAAAACAATGATGCAATGTTTCAGGATAAGCTTGACTTCACTCGTAGTGATTTATTCCAAAAATTCTTTCGATGACATTTAGATAGTTAATAACAAAGATCTTAAAATCAACACTGTGATGGCCTGAAAACTAAATTACAGATTTTGTTGAAAAGTCAATGTTCGACTCTGTCCTGGTTTAAGGGAACAAGTCATTTATTCCAGTAAAAAAATAAACAAAAGCCATTAATATGTCGTTAGTAAAAGGACAGATATTGATAAATAACCGTATGGACCATAGACGTATATCGAGTCTACGTTAAAAAATGTAGACTGCTAGGCATTTACGATTCGTTCAATCCTAATGGTATTTATTCATAATAATTGCACTTGTAGTAAAAAACTGAATTGTTACAATTTTACAGAAAAATAGATATTAAAGGCTTCAGAGAAAATGTATGTACCCCTGTGGTTGGTTCTTCTAACTTCAAGCATTAAGGTTTTTTGTAGCCTACTAAAATCTTTTATATAAATGAATACTGCTAAAATTAAAATGCAGGAGAACATGTGCTATGTATGTGCCCGTGAATTGATGAACAATTATGGGTAGGTTTGGTGGGTGGGAGAATCCTCTTTTCTATAAAAAAAAAAAAAAAAACCCTGATAATAGGCTTAGGTCCTACAATGGACCTTTCCGCTAAGCCCCGCCCCTTGGATATTGTTGCTAAGGTCCCGCAAGACGACGAACACGTGCGTTTGTGGCACAAAACATGTGTTTGTAAGACGCGCGCGTATTCCTAGCGTTTTTCTGATTAGTCAGTTGTTAAGTTTGACTGACACTCCGGAAAGGTCTATAGACAAAATAATGGAAAACAACAATGCTGTGGGAAAACACACTTGAAGGCATGGCCATCAGTAAAAATTAAAAATAAAATGAAATGAAATGAAGGATCAAGCATTTTATGCTGTCGATAATGTTTTTACTGCTTTTAATTGACTTTTGGTGAACTGGGATGCATGGTTTTTGAGTCGGCAAACTGCCATTTGGCAAAGTGGACTCGGCAATCTGGCATTCGGCAATCTGGCATTCGGCAAACTGGGTTTCGATAATCTGGCTTAGATCCTTTAAAATCTCCACTTCCAGATATGGCAACAACAAAATTTAAGTTGTTAAATGAATGTTGTGAATGTTAAATATTATGAACTGGATGAAGTAGAAAAGCTTGGTGGTTAAGATGCTTGCCTTCCAATACCGGAAGTCCTGGGTTCGATTTCTGTTACAGTTACAGGATTTAGGATTTTTTAAATTTTTACGACCAAAATCAACTTCACTCCCAGACCTCATAATGAAATTTAGTCTATGTACAGCATCTTTGTCCTGTGAAGGGATTGCTATTTAAAGTCAGACTCCGAAGGAAAAAAACATTTTGATATGTTTTAGATCTGATTTTTCCAAGACAGAAAAAAGTTGTTTGACAAAGAACTGGGAAAAACCAGTTCTACAACATATTAGAATTTTTTTTCCCTCCAGAGCCTGACTTTAAAAGAGCAATTCAGTTTTCTGGCATATCCTTAACCCTTGTGCCTCAAAAAAATGGTGGAAATACTGTACCCAGTTTTGGTCTCTGGATCAAAAAGTATCATTGTGTAATGAGATCTAACTCATGTATATAATAATAAATACAGGTCTCCCTCCAATTAAATACCAATTTTGGGACCGGGGTTACCATAGCAAGATCTTTAGTTTCTAATTAGAATAATAAAGATACAATACATTTGTTCATTTGGGACCACAGACAAGTGCTCTTTAATTGGAGGCAATTTTAAATTGGAGGGGTCTTTAATTAGAGGGGACCTGTAATAAGTTTTGGTCTCTGGATCCAAAAAACTAATTGTGTAATGAGATAGCACTCATGTATATAAATATTCACATTTAATGCACGAAAAAGTGACCAAACCGTAAACAAATACTGAAATCTGGAATTAAAATATTTTATTTGGCTTCATAACATCACTGCTATATATGTTTTTATCTATGTCGACAAAATAGTCATAAAATTTCGCTGGAATATGTTATTTATAACTGAGTTGGTTCAACTTATATATTATATAAAGTAATACAAAGGAATATTAATTGAGCATGTTTTAACCTCTTAAGTCAATAACCTTACTTAATATTTTAAAACTTAACCACATCAATAATCACACCCAATACTTTAAAATATTTTGTTTTTCAATTTTGGTCTATTGTCATTCATTTAAAAAATATTATATCTTCATTTCAATGTATGGTTAGAAATAATAAAACATATTATTCTACTTTTAATAATGATATGTTGCAGCATATAATAATTGCTTGCAACTTTCATTAACCATACATCAAACCTCACTGAAAAAATAAAAAAACAATACTAAAAACATCAAAAGATGCTTATGGAAATGTTCATATTAACAAGTTCATTATATGGACACATTGCTATGGAATTAAAATCTTAAAATATGTATCTAAACTTACAACAATCTTAATTAATGCTCGGTCCAAACTATTAAACCTTCAGTGACAAATATCTGTGATTTTGCCATATATGGGTATGATGATGGAGTATCACACCCATATGTGAGTATGATGATGTAATAATTATAACTCCCATATATGGGAATGATAATGCAATATCCAACCCATATATGGGCATGATGTAATATCACACCCATATATGGGAATGATGATGTAATATCATACCAATATATGAGCATGATGTAATATCACACCCATATATAGGCATGATGTAATATCCCACCTATATATGGGCATAGTAATGTAATAACACACCCATAATCTGTATGAGAAAGATGATGTAATATCACACATATATATGATCATAGTGATGTAATATCACACACATGGGATCCGAATGATGATTTACATCACACCCATATTATGGGCATGATGGTGTAATGTCAAGCACATATATGGGCATGATGGTGTAATGACATGCCTATACTGTACATAGGTAAATCACAGGTATTTTGTCATATGCAATTTGATAGTGTGGACAGCGTTTAACAGTTAGACTGAATGTATCTTATGTATTTGCTTAAAATAACTACACCTTTTTCCTTTCTTTCCTTTGGTCTTTATCTCTTCTTTCTGGTTTTTGCACTTTTATATCTCTACTATCACCCCCTCCCCACAACCCTTTTGTGTTTACCTTTAATTTACCTCACTTGCGTTTCCAACCCTTCTTTACCCCTCCCTTCTTTGATCCTTTCTGCTTTGGTCTTTTCCCATAGTTCCCATTTCTACCCCTCTCCACTTAATACCCTCCCACATATATATAAAACATTTACATATTAACATGGAATTACTATTTTTTTATAATTATGAATGTTATGATTGTGGTTGATTTATATTTTTACAATCAGTAGCTAGTATGCACTAACACACACACACATCAACACACACCCCTCCCCAATACACATACACACACAAGGCTCTGTTCACACTTGACAAATACATATGCTTTGCCCATATATGGATGTGAGATGACATGATCATGTCCATATAGTATATGTTCACTACATAATAAATAACATTTCCCCATTAGGGCAAACTATCTATCCTTCTGTCTCTTATACACATCTCTCTTTTCGAGTTGAAGGATAAAACTGCTCCAAACTTATGGAACCGTTTGAACTTACAAATGATAACGATGGAGATCTTGTGTTGGTAGCGCTCATTGGTGCATATAAATCATCAAAAGCAACGGTCTCTGATAAACGTCCTTCAAGCTGCCGCGGAGATATTCCAGTCTGTCGTGAATGCGCAAAAGAATCCTCAAAACTAGGAGGTGGCGTAGCTCTGTCTCTTATACACATCTAGATGTGTATAAGAGACAGATCTAGGGGTGGATCCAGAGATGTCCAAAAGAGGGGGGGGGGCAAAAGTGGGACCGATTGAGATAACTCTAGTCTAGGGTGTCTTTTTTGTGTTCTAGATGCCCAAAAATAACCGCTGAGGCATTTTAGGTGATCATTTTTTTCTTTTTTTTTTGACTTTCCAAAAGGGGAAGTCCGGGGCCGGCCCGGCTCCCCTAAATTCGCCCCTGCTATCTGTCATGAATTAAACAAATTTAATTCCATATCTGAATTGCCTAATTTGTATATTTTAAGTAAGTGTTCCCGCCAAGAATCAAACCATCCCTGCTGTCATCTGGTTGAGCTTCCATGCACATGCAGAGGAAGAAGACCCCTTAAGTTTATTGACTGTGTGGCAAGGGACATCAACCAACAAATTAACGACCTTCCAAATCTGATGGCCGATAAGGATTCCCGGCGATGCATTGTGCACACATTCTCAGATGAAACCACATGGCTTGACAATCACAATAGGTATCTGTGACCAGTGCGAAGATATAGGAAAATATTAACGTGATAAACAAAAGGCAAGGAAAGGCAATACAATTGTTCAAAATACTGTGTGTGTTGAGTTTTCAAATTTTCTTGATCCTTTGTGAACCTGAGCTAGACTAGAAATCGTAGTATGTCACTAACAGTTCATGGATCGTAGATATGCAGAGGTCTAGGCTCTCTACAGTACAGCACACACACAATGCCTACCACCAGTTTAACCTTTGAACTATCATATTAACTTGCATCTTTTACTATATAAATATATAATTTTAATTATAAATTTTATTCTCTTTCAATTTGTATGCAATTTTTATCTCTTGTACTTTAAATATATATATATATATTTATATTCTAATGTATTTTAATGTTACTGTACAAATCAATACAATTCAACTTCTTTTGGAAGTTGCGAATATGATTTTAAATAAACTTGAATCAGAGATAAGTAAATACATGGACTTCATTTTTGGACAAAAATCCTTACCTATGTTCTCGAGTTTTGTGGAAACTTCTGGTTTTTCTATCCATACGCGGAACTTCAACATCTGTTGCATAGTAGCTTCCATGCATTCCCATGCTATCACCTGTAGTAAAAAAAACCTCACATGAATAGCACTAATATTAACACAAAGCATGACGTTTAAACACAAAAGCTTTTCTGTCAGTAGGTAAGAAATTGCCAATTACTAGCGAACACTATAAAACTAAGGTCAGGTTCACGCTAGAGCCCCAGTATCCCAAACGGGAGCTAACCGTCAGCGCTTATCGTCAGTACCCATGTGAGGCAACCCGATCGGTTAGCGCTAATCGTTACCAAGATCCGGATATGCTAACTGTTAGCGAGCACTATCGGTTAGCAAGTTTATCTATCATTAACCAATCACACGTACGCATTTCCAATTTCCAGTTTTCTATTGGCCAGTGATCCCATCGTCATCGTCCTGATATCTGAATCAGGGATTTTTCTTGTATGAACGCACGGGTGAGCGCATATGTTTATAATCTGGATCCTGCTAACCGTTAGCTGCATAAGTATAGTACATAGCTTTTATGTGCAATGAGCTTTATGAGCAAAACAACTGTTGGCATTTGTTCTGCTTTTGCCAATATATCGTGTTTAATAATAATCACAATTGCTGAAAGCAGTGCATGCGGTAAATTGTTTGTAAACAAGGGTAATGAATGTCATGAATGAACTTTGGCACAAGCACATAGCACTCATGTCAGCTGGCGAAATAGATCGCACACATCGTAAAATTCCCTGAATATGCTTTGTCGAGAAGCAAATAAATCATTATCAAAATGAACGCTATTTGCACAAGCCCTGGAAACCATGTTATCGTGACCCTCGTGATGGATTAAAATAAAGCAGTCTCCTTCAGCGTGATCCGTGACAATCTATGAAGCTAACCCAGTCAAGGAGTTCCTAAAACAGTCAGACCCAGCATATTTTTGGATGCTAGAAGACGGCCTCTGGGATGCGACTGACATCAGCGGGAGGAAAAACTGAACAACCACATAGCGCAAATTTCTGACATCAGAAGGAGATCACACCACCAAGTCACAAATCCATTAGGATATATTAATAGAATTTGTAAAAAAACAAATTACTTACTTTCAATTCTGTTTGGTTTGATAGATCGGTCAACAGGTGGCGGTACAAGGCGTTGAGGTACAGAGCTGTGTCTTACCGGTGCACGCACTGGCGGTGGAGGCACAGAATGTGGAGGTACTCTTGGTTGTTCTCTCAGCCCGGCATAGTAGTCATCTGTTGTATCGTCCAAACTGCTTTGCATTGGTAAATAATGTGTATCCGTTGTCGGTTTTGTGAAGCTGGGACTTGGATTGGCCGTGCCTTGCATCGGCATGTAAAAACCGCCAGAAACGAGGCAAGACGGCGAAGTTATCGAACATTTCTCATCGTCGCGAAGATTCAAGTAGCCTTCTCCGGACTCTTTTCGAGTTGAAGGATAAAACTGCTCCAAACTTATGGAACCGTTTGAACTTACAAATGATAACGATGGAGATCTTGTGTTGGTAGCGCTCATTGGTGCATATAAATCATCAAAAGCAACGGTCTCTGATAAACGTCCTTCAAGCTGCCGCGGAGATATTCCAGTCTGTCGTGAATGCGCAAAAGAATCCTCAAAACTAGGAGGTGGCGTAGCTGGCCCACTGTTATTATTTCGTAAAGAGTCTGGTTTTGGAGGGCGGGGAGGTGCCTTAATGGGAGGTGATTTATATGGTTGGTTAGCCACCATTGGTTCATAACACATCGGGTACGAGTCAAACACGCAATCATCTTGTTGTCTAAATGGGGAAACAACGCTGGACAAACTGTTTGCTTCGCTCATTGTCAAAGACGGTGGCTTAGGGGGCCTTGGAGGCACATCCTGGTTTACATTCCTTTGCACGTCATTTATATAAATGTTCTCAGACTCGCTTCCAGTATTAACAGGCCGGGCTTGATTTGACTGTGAGATTAACTTGAACTTTTGCGCTAAGTCATCTGTTGATTTGCTAACATCATCATTTGTGAGATGGACAAGCAATCGGTGGTTGAGCACAGACTGGTTGTTTGGTGGTACCTGGTATGGAGAGTCATCTTCGTCGCCATCGTCGTCATCATCGTCCTCCAGTGTATGTCCAAATGAGTCATCACCATCGCAGTTAGTTTGTGAGATTTGCTGTTCAAAGTTTCTGCTTGGTACATCTACAGATGTACTTCGTCGCGGGACTGCTTTATAAATTGGATGCTCAACATCTTTATCTTCCATAGCTCGTACGTCCTCAACAAACCGTGATGATGGAGGAATATCGTACACAGGTGCATTCCAACTAACAGGAGGGGGTGGCACGTCATACGTTGATTGGTTCCTAGGGACACTATAGATCTCTTTTGGGGGTGAAGGGGGAGGCAGTTCTGGAACACTTGCCGTTCTTTCCCCCATGTCAGTGTGTCCATTTTGAATATCTCCATTTTCCACCCAAAGTTTGAGATAGGAATCATTTCTGTCTTCTGGTGGTACGGTATCATGCTGGAGTATTCCATTTGTTTCCAGGGGTGGAATCATTGCTTGTGATTCTGGGTGTGTATTTAACACTGGATCTGCTGATTGTACAGGTAGCATTGGTAAGCCAGGATCTGGGGAAGGACTATATGGAGATGTATCCTCCTCCTCTTCTATAAAACATAAAAATGCAGAACATTATTAAAATTTATTATTATATTATTATTTTATTATATTATCCAACATTCATTGAACTTGCCAATAACAATAAATCGTGACCCAAGCTCACAAACAGGCTGTAAACTCGTCCTCAGGCCAAAATGATGGCATATATAATGGCATAGAACATATTATTTACTTTAAAATGACAGTTAAATGAACTCAATCGGGTGTCTGGAAGCAAGGTTATGACCGTTTGAATAATTGCCATCTTATCAACTTTCTTAAATCAAGTTTTGAGAAAAATGCTTTTATTTTCGGCAGGTTTCTATTCATTTTTCATGAGCTCCCATCCGAAAGTGGCTAAATTTTACCTCTTACAGTTTGAATTCAGGAATAACTTCAGGAATGGTAAACTTAATATTTATACTTTATTTATTACCCAAAAACCAAATTCACACAAAATTCACATTCTACGCCCTATTCTGGGTATTGAGGCTTGTTTCTCAATACAGTGCTGTGCGAGTTTACAGCCTGTTTGTGAGCTTGGGTCACAATTTATATCCAAACTTATTAATATGTCTGTTTTTCAATGGTACCATTAAAACTACTAATATAATAAGATCTAAATAAATTTATATAATTTTGAACTTTGTTGTGCAATTTTACACAACTAAAAGCGATACACAGAAATTTCACACAAACTGAAAACGATAGATAAGAACTAGTTACCTTAACTATTGTCACATTCCACAGTTTCTTTGATTGTAAGAGTGACAAATTGGGTAACTCACTTAATGTCATTTTTTTAAGGTAAGTTGCAAAGGTGGCATAAGTTTTCTAAATGACTACCTACAGAGCATTGTCAAACTTCTAAAAGATTTTATTTCAAATTCTTGGATCTGTTACTGCAGTAATAATTTTGAATTACATTAAAATAGCAAGCAATTTACAAACATGTACGAAGTTTGTCATAATTTCATCAGTTGCAAACACAATTGCAAAATAGTGAAGAGTTATTTTTCTTATCATGTCGTATACTGTATCTCGTACAATCTCAATCCGATGCTCGAAGCACTGATTATTTGGAACACTACAAGTCCTTCATGCACAAGAATTGTAACACACAATCAGTGCTTTGTCGCTTTAAATTAAAAGCGCTATATAAATCATTATTGTTATTACTGTGGTTCCTCAGGTATAAGCCCACCGTCGGTAAAAGTCCACCCCCTACTTATGTCCAATTAAATATATCAGCTTTTTTTCCATGGTATGACCTTTACAGGGCTTAACAGTGAGGGTGCCACGATTTTTCCAGTTGGCTGCTAGAGGCAGCCCCCTCTAGCCCCACCTCCCCTGTAGCGCCGCCACTGGGGCTTGACTTTTAACCAATCAACTTGCCTGGATTTTCTTCTGAGAAGAAACCGCAAACATTACATATCTGTTGCACCCAGCGACTCATCTCCTCCTCCGATTCGGCCACCAAAAAATACTTGCGATCTTTTGTCTTCAAATCGAAGATGAACCCAAACGCCGGCTTGGCACTGAAGGTCAGGCCCTCGTCGACCTGATCACATTCATCCAGGTTAATGACCTTAATCGGGGCTTTACTTTTTTCGTCTTTGTAATATTCTAGCGTGCTCAGGCCATTGTTAGACCGCAGAATAAACCATCGTCGATGCCATCTCTGCAAAGAGTTGAAAAAGAAGCACTATAATTAATATTTATAGCAGACAGCGCAAAGACATTATGTAATTATCCAAGTCATTAAGATCGAACACCTGAGGGACGTGTACACAGCTCCTTGGGGGAGTATTTCATGTCGCATGTGATACACTGATATTCAAACCTACTATAACATACCAACTTTTGGTGCAGAAAATTTAAATAAAGTGCTTCCACTCAAGAAATGAATTATTATTTTTGAAATTCAGCACCAGCTGCAGTTGATGAATACATTTTATATTTTTAACTTCAATTTTCCAATAAATATATACAGTATATAGGTCTCCCTTCAATTAAAGACCACTTTTGGGGCCGGGGTTTCATAGTCGTTAGCAGCTTTGTTCTTGAATTATAAACTTTATTCTTATAAAAATAAAAGCTAGGTAATTCATTTAGGACTGCAGAAAGGTGGTATTTGGTTGTAGGTGGAGTTTAATTGGAGGGGTCTATAATTAGAGAGAGACCTGTATCTTCTGTGTACAAATAATACAAAAAGGGGCTGAAAAATAGTGTGAGACAATATTCTTTATTTGTCCTCAAATGTAAAACACACTGTAGAAATTTGGGCTGAATCCCTGGAGATCTGTGGCAGCCACAGTGCAGCGCCACCCAACAAATATTACAACATACAACGGATACTAGATATGGTCCTTCACTCGCCTAACTCTCCAATTGGCCATATATTACAACATACAACGGATACTAGATATGGTCCTTCACTCGCCTAACTCTCCAATTGGCCATATATTACAACATACAACGGATACTAGATATGGTCCTTCACTCGCCTAACTCTCTAATTGGCCATATATTACAACATACAATGGATACTAGATATGGTCCTTCACTCGCCTAACTCTCCAATTGGCCATATGCTCATGTCTTTGAGAATCAAGTTTTATAGCTTCTTCCTTTACGCAAAACAGTTACCGTTTACATACAAAACATAACACAGGGCATGGAATTCTCAAAAAGGAATACTAAACAAGGTTTGTTTAATTTGTAAACACTTGTACTATAAACATTTTTGTTTTCAAATTAGATCTGAGTCTCAATTTTTATCAAAAACCTTTTTGATGTCTCAAAATTTGACAACATATTAGAAATTAGATTATAGATATTAATTAATTTAATTTGAGCTGAGCTTTTGGATAATTGGTATGGTTCCTGCTTCTTGCACGCCTGGGCCCGGGTTCGATACCCGGCTCTGCATCGAGTATTGAATTCGGGTCTTTTATAATAACAAAACGCTCAGCTCCTCGAATAACCCTCTCAGGAGAGTTATGCGGGTTAAGTTCCACGTATGTATCCGTTTGATGTTGTAGAGTAAGTGGGGTAGTTGGCGCCGAGCTATGGCAGCCGCGGGTCCCCGGGGACCCAGCCCGAATTTCTCAGTGTGTAGGCATACATATACAAGGACAAATAAAGAATTATTATAAATTTAACTTGTATTAAAACAAAAATTGTATCATGTCTTTGAGAACGAGATCATCATTATGACCATTTGCTTTCCTATGAAAAGGATGAAAAAAAATTCTTTGTATGTTTATTTGTCTATTAGCTGTTTGCCTTTCTCTTGGTCTGAACAGTAAGTGAAAGACCCTATCATAAGAAGTCTCAAATACATTGCAATTACAAACATCAATAAATCTTCAGATACAATCTGATATCATACATTTCATCATCAATGGATAAAAGATTAACTAATGAATAATTATAAAAATATAAAACTGAACAAAAGAAACTCTCGATTTCTCATGCACTTCCCTACAACCGCAGACGGTAAGTACAGTACATAAATTAATACCATAATTGGAAATGTACACACACGATGATAAGTGTAGCTGCTTAATACAATAGGACATACATAGCAGAAATTCACATTCATAAGCCAAGGCTTCGATGATTAACAAATCTACTTTCACTACAGTATATTATATATATTCTCGACTACTACTATTATATACAACTGTTACCTTTAGTTTGTGTACAATATTCTCTTTATACAGTTCAACAGGAATTTGTTTGCAATCACAAAAATATAGTAAAGCAACCGCCACCTGAAATACTGCATATTGTAGTGCAATAGAAAAAAATATATAGAATATTCATTGCTTAATGTACACACTACTACATCTTGATGAAGTGTAGTACATTATCGTACTATTTATTATGTCAGCCACTTAACATCCGCCCGAACGCTAACCTGACATCTCGTACTAAACCTGTCAACGACGATGCGCTACAAAGCATAATTCCTATCGACAGATTTTACAAGTGCAATCACCTTTTGTGTTTACTCAGTAAGAGTGTTTCCATTCTCACGCTCTCAGATGAACATCAGTCTCGAAAGAGAAACAATAAGCACAGAACAAAGCTAATCTTAACCCCGATAAATTATACAATACCTCGCATGATGACGATCATTGAACAGGTCTGCATGCTATAGCAGTGACTGACTGATATGTGTGTGTCTGTTGGCAAGTATCAGATAAGGAATTCAACAACAGGAAGTTAGCTATACCAAGTAGAGCTGTTGGAACCTGAATGGGCGAAAACGCTCGACAAACAACTCCCCTTAATGAGGATTATACAGGAAAGACTAAACAGTTCCTGGTGTATCCATCACCTCAAGTACATGGGATAATAGATTCATTAGGCCATGTAAAATAAAATAATTGGTTAGCATCTCCTCCCTACCATCAAAAAGGCCACCGACCCGATTATTATTATTTTTTTTTTTTACAATACACTCACAAACTCAATTTAATATAGGTTTGTTTACCACCTGTCCGCACACTAGCCAGTCCACTTGCAGTTCTATGCTCTACTGTTGTTCTATAGGCCTATACTGTAGCCACATATGGTATCCATGATGCCTGTTGTGTTGAGGAGTGAATTGTGCATGATAATACATAGAGATAATTGCATTATGACGCCTTTATTCATAGGTAAATTTTCTGTTTGCTATAGATGCTTGTATATAATTTTGGTCTCTGTTGTTTTATTCTTCTTTTTTTGCAAATTTTCCTTGCAAAACTCTTTTTTCATGTTCGATGCAAAAAAAAAAAAAAAAAACCTCCCTCCCTACCATGAAAATTGATAACATAAGGATGCTACCAATTGTTTTATTTTACATGGCCTATATGATGAAAATTCAGGTCTCCCTCCAATTAAAGAACACTTTTAATTAAGACCCCCAAATGAATGTTTATCTTTTATTTTTATAATAATCATTTTTCTATTAAAAGATCAAAGTTGCTAAAGACCATGAAAACACCGGTTCCAAAAGTGGTCTTTAATTAAAAGACTCCTCCCATTAAACGCCACATTAAACGCCACCTCCAATCAAACACCACTTTTCTGAGGTCCAAAACTAGCAAATGCCATTTTTAATAAATATCTTTAAAAAATGATTAGCTTGGAATTAGGCTTGCAGTGCTGAAAAATTGCCCTTTGATTAAATAGGGAATTTCCCCGGTAAAAACACACTCTCAATATTGTACTAATCAGGCATATCAGAGGAACTGCAGTATATTATTTTTAACTTGTCAGTTACCTTCTGCAGTATCGTTAGATTTTAAGGTGTGGTACACATTACAAACATCTTTTGTAATAGAATATGAAATCCAGGATAAAGATAAGAAAATGTTAGTGTTCTCGATAACAATTTTTGATAACTGCAAATTGTTAATTAAAAACCAAAACAGAAATAAAACAGTGATTCAAATAGTGATCACACTGGCTCAGACTTTACTTAAGTACATCCATTGAAGAAATTCTTTGCTCTCAATATATCCATGAAAGATTTAAAACAGTACCAAATTTGAAATAAGAAAGCAGTTAAAATTATTAATCAGTGCATATTTGAAGAAGATTTCCTTTACATCCAACAGTAAGTACACTGCACCACTTACAGACTTAGGGAGTGGAGTTGTTTAAACATTAAAAAAAATGCAGCAGTGACAGAAACCTGAAATTATAAAAGAAAGCATCTTAACCACCAAACTACTGCTCCGCTACATGAAAATGAACTCTGCATACATTATGTCAAAAAATGTTTGCGGGTGTACTAACGGTACTTTTCCTAAGGCAAATTCTACAATTTTCTTTGCCTTCAAATGCACGTTAGTAAATTATATATAACCAGGGAGATATTACCATATTTGGTCGTATACTGACAAATTTAACGTTCATTTGTTTGCGACAATCTGTTCTGCGTCAGTTTTAGTCTCAAGGCTTGCATTGAGTCAACAACGTTCTCACACACACACACACACATGGATGCAGCCCGACGCGTATCACATATTGTCTCTGCTCAGACTGACACTACGCGATGCGGAAAAATTACCTCGGCCTGCATCTGCTAATGTTGTCCGAGTTGGCTTTTTAAAAGAGAATGATTTTTTCGTATTGATAAGAACTTCTCTAAATATATAAATCAAATCAAACAATGATTAAATAGAATAAGAATAATTCTTTATTTGTCCTCATTCAAATGGAAATCAAAAATTCGCACTGGGACCCACAGCGCTGCCCAACTTATCTACAACATATAACGGACACATACGAATAGAAAACATTGTCCTCATGTCTAACTTTCAATACAATAGTTATTCGAGGGAGTCTAATTATAACTGGACGCTGGGTGGGTTTAAACCAAGGTTTTCAGCACAAGAAGCAGAAAAAATACCTCTCAGCCAATTGCTTAGTGACAGACTTATCAAATATTCCCTTGAAAAAGCGATAAAATTCCAAAATTTTTGCAAATCACTGATTCTACTTCAGTACTATACTCTTGAGAAAAATTTTAAATGAAATGTTTTATTCAACACTGTTTTGACAAACGTAACATTTACAATGTTTCAAAACGATTTATCTACCATTACATGCGTGAAAAAGACATAGTTGAGAGCATTGTCACGGAAACACTGTCCCCAGGGTTCCATTAGACATAATGAC